CATAGCTTCGATTTCTGCGATTAATTTACATTTCTGTCACACTCCAAATGCGGTTATTCATTGAAAACAAATTATACGGTTGGTCAGAACTCTGACGCCTTTACATTATTCATGTTTGTGCATATTTGGGCAAGACAAGTGGCTGAGCCAAGCAATGCCAAAGTACACATTGCAAAACATTCCAAGTTTGCCCGCAGATGTATTTGCAAATTTATGGTACCACCTTCAGGAGGGTTCATCGAACCACTTGCTGCATTGCCTCATGACTTTGCATGGAACGACAGCATCAAAAAGATATGCTTCCACTCACAATTAGCCTACGCTGCGGTCTCGCAGACATTTCTCTTAGACAGTAGGGCTCATTTCGGTCTCCCTCCGAGGGACGTCTGGGCACCAATAAAGAGGGGCTTATGCATGCCTCAGCCTCTTCATTAAATCAGGCAGGCTAAATTTCATTCTTCGGTCTACCAACCGAATCTATCCGCAGGCCAGCCTGGGCTGTGTTTTGTCCGGCCTCGACATATCCGACTTGTCGCCGCCCGTATTCCCCGATGAATGCCCAATTTGCGATTCATCTTCCTTTTCAATCGGAATGAGGTGAAGGGCTTGGCCAGGTCCAATTAGCCCGACGCACCCGCCATGCCTCTCTCCCCTCCCTCTCTACCTACAGAGCCCCAGACCCCTGGCTCCCCTACTCGTCTCTTAAACCAGCCTACGATTTGGCATCCACATGTTTTTTAAGTCTCTCAACCTCAGTTGGTTTGCACAGCAGTCGTTTTTATGGAGTAGTCTCCCACTTCCCCATAACTCTACCTGATACGCCTCAGGTCACAGTTAAGCTTGGTCATGGTTCCGGTATCCTTCTCGGACGGAGACCACAATATTGTGAAGAAAGCCCCTCTAAAGCCTATTATTAGCGGGGAGGCTCTCGTGCAGGCCTTTCTCCAGAATACGCCCAACACCTAAGCACAACGACATTCAAACTGTACCATCCATAAAAGTTTAAGCCGAACGGTTTGGCACCAGAGTCTACTTATCCGGAGAACACATTTGCGTGCACCAGCCCAGCCGTTTCATACATAGCCTCATGGAGTGGAGTGGAAAGAAAGTTTGTAACCGCATTCTGGAACCACACTGACCGAAATTGTACTTGCTTGCAGAGAGAAACATTCACATTGACTGAGATAACTCTGAATGGGTCCAAACGGCCGTATAAACATACACAAACAAATGCATGTAGGATCACATATGCAAGTCATTCTTAAATTCATACATGCACATATATATATATTCATCTATTGATTCACACATATATACATGCGTACATTTATTTATTCATACTTACATACATAAAGGCATAAATACAAACATTCGTCTATTAAGACACGCATAAACACATCCATTCATTAATTCATGCATACACACCTGTAAATAGACAAGAATTCAAATACGCAAAAATGCGAAAATTCATTCATCAATTGATTCATCCATCCATTCATACATGCAAACATTCAAACTTGTGTTCATACATAAATATGACGTGTATTGACCATAGTCCATTAAAGGTGATAAGGAGACTAGAAGATTAATTTTCGCACATTGATTTAAATATCAAATTTCATATAGTTTTGTTTTTCCAAAAGGTATCCTCATCTAGTTCAGACTGGAGTTTCGACCTCGCATAGGTCTCATCATCGCTTCCAGCGGGACTCTAATCATGGTCTGTCAGTGTATAATCTCGACAAGTTAACCACTATACCACATTGTCTCGAGTGCATTTGGCTCACAGGGCAGATGTGAATTTCAAAGAAGGCCAGGCATCGAGATTATTCGATGCACTGTGATTTTTCGATTCCAGCTGGATGCGCAGATGAAACCGAGACGAGGTCAAAATTGCATTCCACATCAGCTTGTATGAGAATAGCTTTTAGAAGGCAAGGCTATGGGACATTTTATGAAAACGTAGCGTCTACTCGTATTACTGCGAAAAAATTCAACTACCAGTCCTTAATTAACTTGACGAAATTGAGTGAATACATATCATATATATGATCCACTAGTAATCTCGAAAACTTGCTTATAAAACGAAAAAGATGTATATATGCATGTATATGTTCAAACTTTTTTATTATTTTTTGATTCAAACACTCACCTATTGATTAATTAATCATACATCCATTTATACATACGCATACGCACTCTAGCATGTAAACTTGTAACTAGTTTCATTAGCGAAATTACAGCTCTTTGACGAACCGTCCAGGCTTTTCGGTTACTACGAAAGTGGCATCTCGAAAGGTGATACTTTCAAAGAAGCTGTGCTAATGAACCAAAGAGAAGGGTACCAGTAAAGGCTAATGTTGTCGTGTGAAATATTCGTCGCAGGCTGATATTTAGATCCTCTCTGACGAGTGATTTTACCTTAAAAGTTTCTCGAACTGTGAACACTATGTGTCAGACAAAAAAATGGTAAAAGTGAGGAAGAATGAGATAGGCGAGATGAAGATATTTGGCTCAAAGCTGACTTCTTCGGTGTACTTAAAACGAATTGGTTTTCACTCCAAATATCATCTTATTACGCAACTCCAAGGGCCATTATCGCTCAGACTGGCGGGATTTGAAACATGGACTAGCCAGCCAAGGGGAGAACACTCTGTATGGCTAGACGTATGTTGCTCATGAGTTCTACGTCCAGAGTTCGAGTCCCGCCTGAGTTGTTGATGAGCTGATGAACCGAGATCTAAACTGCCGTCATGCAAGAATCAGTGCTTTTCGAAATAGCACAAAAAGTCTACTAAATCAAGAGAAAAGGTGTCCGGCTGCAACCCTGGTCATTTCTTTTATACACTTACCTTCGCGATCTAAATGAGTCATACCATGATTTGGTTGGCTACCTCCAACATACTATGCATGTTTGCAGATGAGTGAAACTAATTCATGAATGGGAAGTGCTTGAGATAGCAGCTCTTTGTTTGATTACAAAAATAGGGTAGAATCCTCTAAAGTTGACTCATGTTTAAGTATCGGCTATTATCTATTGAATGTATGCAACGTTCATGCCATGAGAGGTGTGATAGTCCTAGTCGCACTCAAGGCTAATCCAGCCTCTCTTGCTCAATAACTCGTCCTGCTCTCCCTCTCTCCTTCTCTTCCACTCTTCTTGAGCTTATCCAACAGCCATAAAAAGTCCATACTCACTTTACTACACTCGCTCCGCCTATCTATTTTGTTGTCTGTTTTGTTG